TCATTTATTCCATCACTTCTTCGGATTATTTATTTTTAATCAATCTATATTCATGTGAAGTGTAGCTCATCTGCATTTTTCTTTCCCTGGAACCTAAATGTATATTATGAGTTTGAATCCATCAGAAACTAAGTCAGTCAAAATCAAATTTAACTACATACGAAGTGAAAACGATTTGTATTTCGCAAATCAAAGTGATAGTTAAAGCAACCAAACTGTGTCAGAAATGTTCCCAAATTACTAGGTAAGGCTTTTATCAGCTCATCATCTGATCCAATAATTTTAATTGTGGCATTTCATTCGGCATGTCGCCGCACGACTTCTATGATACTCGAAGTCTCACATATATAATTTGAAAGGGGGGGTCTGGGGGGGCGGCGCCCCCTCAGCAGGTAGCTTTTGCTACTTGTTTAAATAATATGCTACCTTCTCAGCAACCCAACTGTTGAAAACGGCCGACAAAGCAACAGCGTTGCTTTTGTTGGTTGTGTAATTATCACATTTTTAAATGTCTTTCAACCAACTAAAATGCAGCACAACCGGTGATCATTTAGACACCATGTTTAAGTCAATAATTGAAGTCAGTTGATTGACGTAACCCATCATTTTACTTGTCTGCCTATTGATGACATAGATTTGAGTGTAAATAATCTGTGAACTAACTTGGCTAATATATAGTTGGTCATCAGATTGAATGATTGGATATACAGTGCTTCGCAATGTGAACTTTACAAATGCAAATATGTATACACCAAGACGAACCTTAAATAAAATATTGCACTTTGTGCTTCAAGAATTTTTCTCTCACTGAATCACACAAAACAAATTTGAGATTATTCATTGACAAAACCCTTAACAAACCCTCTGGAGGTGCCTTTATAGCTTGTTGGCGCTTTAATGGCTATATATCCACGGAACGGACACAACATAGCAATGATATAATGTCAATGAAATTTAAATGATCAGGCTGCACAACTTGTTGTGTGAGTCCTCATCCCCAGGTAAAATTCAAGACACCCTTCATAAATCCGAAACTTTTTGGCTACAATAATAGAATATTTCCTGTAAGATGAAGAACAATCACCAAAAATGTCAAAAAATAATTTATTAGTTATCCTTGGAAAAAGCAAATGTTCAAAAAATCAGCAATGCCCAAAATTGAGATACATGTTTTTCAACTCCCATTATCAAAAAGAAAACGTACTCTATGAAACGTGAAAACGTGTACTCTATGAAAAAAACTTTAACCTAGTAAGAAAGAACATTTTGACAAATTTTTGCCGTCTTTGTCTTTTCTTACTTTACTTTTCGTTTTAGTTTGATGGCTGTTTTCTTTTATGTATTTATTTTGTTCAGCTTATTTTCTTACTGATGCGACTTTTTTGCATCAAAGAACTGATCTTATGGCTGTGTCATGTGAAGTGTCATTTTGTCTCTAAGTTAGGATGTTGGCTGAAGTTTGGCGCTACCTCAGAATTGTATGACAAGCTGTAGTAGTGTTAGGATCCTATGAGCCTGAGCCTCAATTGCTTATGTTTAGGCTATTGGGCAGAGATTTGAGCTCGATGGTGTAATTTCCAAAGCAGTTTCCACCATCTCCTTATCCCTGTGAAATTCTCAAGTCTCAATACACTTTGGGGCCCCTCCACCCTCCTAAATCCTACCCCACAAGCTTTTTAGCAAGACCAATCATTGAATTTGAAAAATAAGCACATCGACACATGGCTAGCAAGTACATATGGCGATCAGCCTTTCCAATTCTATTTTTTATTTATTTGTTGTTTTGTTTTATTTCTCAGGCAATACCAGCAAGTAAAGGGTATTGGAATCAAGCACAGAAGTTGAGTGTGAATATCGGCGGTCTTAAAGCAGCTGTCTATCATCTTAATAGGACTGGCAAAGAATTTGAAGGCAGTGAGTAATATTTATTTTTAGATTGCCTTCTATACCAATTAGACGTCTTATGTTTCGAAAGGATATACCAAAGAATGAAAAAAAATATCCTCGAGTGTGTCAAATTTTTGCCTCCTTGGTTCTTGCTGCAGCTGCTCCCTGCACACTTTAAAAACACTGCTGTTGGTCGCTGTTAATGATTTTGCAGTAATTTCAAAGAGGTATTAAGAGGAATGGTTGATAGAAAATTGTTCTTTTAATAAAAATCTTGGGATGAAAACTGTGGCAGATGCTCATGAGGTCATTGAGTGATAATTAAGAATGCTTCTTGTCTCACAATATAACCATAAATGTTGACCAAGGGCCAAATTTGATTGTAGATGGTGAGCAATAATCACCAAATGCTTTGTTTAGCTGCAAAAGAACATTTTGCAGAAGTCCAAAATTTGATGAATTTTGTGTTACGGTAGAAACTTTTGAGTTCATGAAATATATGAAGATATCCATGGTTTCTTTTAAGTATCATTGGAGGAGATATAAGAAGATGACTTAATTTGCTAAGTTACATGTATTTAAATGGAAAATGCTGCTTGATGATGTCACAAGGCGGTATATGTTCTCACTTTAAATCTATTTCTCTACAATTTTTCACATTAGAAAAGATAATAAAAAGTATGTAGAATTAGCTCATTAAGCACTCCAATATGGAGTAATTAAAAATCAATATCATAGTTTGAACAAAATCTCCAATTTTATTTTATCATTTGGTATATCATGTTTATTGAAAGATTGAATTCAATCTGCTTGCTCCTAAAACCATTGATCTTGCAGTGCAGGGTGCTGCAATTAATTTTCCAATAACTCAGCTAATCAGGTCATCATGTATCATCAGGCTTTTTTGAGGTGCCTTTGTAGTATTTGTACAGATGGAATGGCATCTCATTCCAGCCCCTCTCCTTTAGCATTTCATTCACCTCTTCGATGACAGTATCCAGTAATTGATGGTGCTTCCGAGAGAAGGGGTCCCTGAAACAGAGGAAAATATTAGAGAATACCTTTTAATTTTCTTGAAAATTCTAATGCAACTCATGTATGTAGTTGTGCCATACACAGTTCCTTTCCTCAGGAGGCCCTGAGTGGTTTAAATTTTGATTAAGAGAGATCCTTGACATGGCCTTATAATGAAGATAGGTCCTTTCAGCGAATCACAACTAAAATTCAACACCTCAACTTCGAAAATAGATCCTGTCATGATTCGCAGCGGATGAGATGAAGACCTTGGAGAGGAAAAACACTGAGCTACCAATGTGTGCACAGTATGATATTTATTTTGCAATTAACAGACTGACATGAGAGACTTACAAAGTGAGTGTTATACAACTATGCTTTCATGCTTGCTGCAATGAGATTCGACGGAAATAAAACAAACGATTTTTAGCTTAGGATGACGCTAAGCACGCCCAAGAACATGTATTCAACCATCAAATAAAAAATACAGGGACCACATAACCTCTCATGTGAGGTGTAACAGTGTTGTCGAGTTGTAAACAAGTATTAAATTGAGATCGGTACAGTGGAGCCCGTATATAACGAAGTTCACGGTTCCCAGAAAAACTTTGTTATATCCAGAACTTCGTTAAAAGCGGACTCGGTGGAAAAATTCGGGAAAAGTTAAACAAAAAAAATTGCAAATATAAAGATTCAATACTTGTATATTTAGATCAAGAATACACAATTTAAACTCACTTGAAGAAAGCATTGATCGGTTTCTGTACCGTTCTGTACCGTGGCAGGCACTTTTAATGAAGTCGCCCTTGACTTTCCCGAGCAACTCCACCGACCCTCCGAGGCCGGTCGTGAACGCATACCATAGGATAGTAGCTACCAGAAAGGTAACTGGCAGATTCTCCCGTAAGCTCGCGTTTAGTCACTTTTTCGAGGCAGACTTTGCTCTTTTACTGCGCGCAAATATGAACTAACTAACTTCAAAAATTCAACTACTGTTGAATATGAATTAATTACTAATTACCTCTAACCTGAGTCATTTTTTAATTCCAGATTGATGTCAGGTCATCAAATTAATTTTTTCTTTAATTTAAAGTTTTATTTTAATTTATTTATTAAAAGCAAATTAAATTAAAATTTGCTTTTAATTTATTTATTAAAAGCAAATAAAATAAATTAAAAGCTATTAGCTCTCGATTAGCCTCTTTTAATGTGTGATAAATTCACAATCGAATAAACAGTTTACGCATGTATTCCAAAGGAAAATCAGCGCAGGGATGTTGAATTTCAATTTCTCGATCATTGTCAAAATTGTACTATGTAGATTAGTCAGTGCAGCTGATGAGAAATTCTGAGTGAAAATCTTCTCCGTTTTTTCCACAGCCTTGATAAAATCATCAGGAGGGACTTGCAGTTTCCCGAATGGATTGTTATCCTGCGACTTGTAAGCTTTTTCTTCGCAAAATACCTTGATCGGTGTGACAGTGTTGTTCTTGCTGACAGCAAAGGCTTCACAAATCGTGCAAGTGTGTACTTTGTTGCACTTGTAAACAAGATAACCGCTCACGTACGTCAGAGCATTGCTGTACGGCAGTTCCATAGAACTATAGTCACTGCTGGAGATTGCTATTTCCTTCGTACTTCGTTTCCTACCTTTGATTATCGCTACTGGGAATGCGACTTCTTTCTCTGCTGATGAATTGGTTTTTGTTACTGTTTGAACATTCATCTGTGCTGATGATGAATCATTTTTTGTTGCTGTTAGAACATTCAACTGTTCTGATGATTAATAATTTTTTTTTGCTGTTGGCACATTCCTCTGTGCATCATTCTTCGATGGCTGGATCTCTTCATCTGTTGATGTGCAGTCCTTTCCCGTTTTCGTTTTTAAAGCTTCTTCAGAGGCTTAAACTGCATTCAGATCTTCTGCGCAGTTTGACCCAAGGGACTTCTGGAAGTAGTTGAGACAAAATGCTTTCTTGGAAGCTCGTCTGAACTGGACTGGTGTTGGATTCTTTGAATTTGGGCACCTTGCACTGGATTTGTATATCGCTGCAAGAACTGATTTTTTAATTGGCTCGGTAACTTCAGACCAATAAACATCATGGATGATTGACATTTCAGCAGGTAATTGATCAAATGTTGTACACCAGCGGTCTTCAACTGCCCTGGAGTAAAATGAGTTTTCATAATTTTTTGAAGTAGAAGGGATATTACCGTCCACTTGTAGTCGATGTTTGGAAACTTTTTCGTTTCGAAAGAATTTTCCAAAATCCACTGTTGCATTTCGGTCAGTGTCCGATTCAGAGGAACTAAATTCAAAGTTGTCAGTTCTGTTGCCTGTTGAATTAGCTTGATTGTATCTGATTCCATCAGATTCTCCGCTGTTATTTCTGGTTCCGGTTCCTCTCCCGATGTTTCTTCGTCCGTTTCCAAAGTCAGTTCCTCTATTATTTTCTGCTTCTTCATTGGTTGTTTTCCTTTGTTCTTGGAAATTGAAGACTTCAAATCGCTGAGGATTAAGGATTCTTCCTCGTTGTCCGAAATTTGATGGTCCAGGGATTTCCTCTTTTTCAGTTCTTCCTCCATCTGTTGCACTTTTTCCTTCTGAAGTACAATGTCCTCCAGAGTTACGTCTTGAGATTCCGGAATCATCGACGAAAGATTCTCCATATTTTTTAAAAAGAGCTGCGAACGAACTACACGTAGAGTCACTATCACTTTCCGCGGAAGGCACGTAGTCTTGATCACTGTCAACAATTTCAAACGAAGATGAAGTAGACATTTAAGGATGATACTGGAGTCGCCCTATTTATATGCTTGAGTTTGCGCACGTCGCAAAAACTGCAACGTGATCCGACCAGCCCACCCGTCCTTAATTGGTTTTCGACGTTGCAATATCGGGATTAAAAGGTGACACCGTGCCCCCGGCCCGGCCGGCCCGACCGACCCGACCCGGCTAATGACATAAGCTTGAATTAACTGATGAGCCCTGCGTCGACCGATCAATGTAATTATCGAAAAAAATGTTCCAGGCTGTCTTGGCAGAATCGGCGTGTGAATAAGTGGTCCACTCCTTCCTTTTTGCATGAAGACCAAAGATCCAGTAGAGCTCTGATGGATACCTTCCACCCCTTGATGAAGTTGACATCATTGGTACAGTCTTTTTTCGTTACTGGATCGATTAGCTTCAGATTTTGGAGAAGTTTTAGCATGTAGTACAAAAAATTTATCTGCTCATCGGTGCCTTTGAATGGTCGATTCCATTTTTTGCGGACTTTAAAGCTGGAGGAATTAAGCAGATCAAACAATTTGTCAAATAGGGCTAACAGCTCTGCAGTGTCTTTAGCTTCTTCTGGTAAGATCTTTAATCAAGTATAAGCATTCAAAGATGCAGCCGTTGTTGCGCTTAAAACTTGGGTTGCATAACGAACTTTCATCTTTTGAAAGCCGTTTGGATTAATGTGTTTGTCGGTTAATTTGGGTGTGAAACGGAGAGGGTATTTTTTGTCATCCTCTCAATACTTCACGATATGCTCCCATTTTGCGGCTTTTCCGTTGAAATGAAAATCGTAATTCATTAAATTGTTACGAGTACATTTGATAAGGTCTGCTCATCTGCTTGTTTCGCGCGCTTAAAATACTTGTTTTGCTCTCTGACATTATCATTTTCTGTGATTGCAATTGCCCCTTGGTTGTCACATTAAATGAGACCTTTGCCTGGGATCAAATGTCTTAAACCTAACTCGTCAAACAAATTTTTCAGCCAAGCCAGATAAGCTCGCAGGTAGTTTCGTGCAGGGCTATGTATTCAGCATGGATACTCGAGCTCGCAACTTACTTCTGTTTTCTGCTTTTCCAGCTCACTGCTCCTCCTCCCATGTTAAATGCCAGTATGACTTCGAATCAGATTTATCTCCTGCCCAATCTGAATCGCTAAAAACTGAAAATTCACAGTTTTTCTCGTATACAAGATTATAATTAATTGTCTTATTCCAATATCTGAATACATTTTCCACTCCTTTCCAATGTTTAATTGTTGGTTTACTACAGTATTGGCTAAGTTTACAAAAAGCGTTGGAAATATCGAGTGCGACGAGAAAAAGAGGGGGCAACAACACAACCTCCGATGACTTATGCTAACAAGAAAAATATTACTAAAATGACTTATAACTAAGGTTAAATATCCAACATAACCCCCCACCTTGAATCCTCCCAGGATTCAACTCAAAAAGAGGAAGCACAATAGAAGTAAAGTGATCATACATACTAATTTATAAATGCAAAACAATCATTACGAGCAATAAGCCAACTAAAGTTTTACTATGGCAATAAAACCAGGGATTTTATTATATAAAACTAGCAGAAAACCCGTGCTACGCACAGGAAAACCCCACCATCAGAAATCACTGTGATTAGTGATCAGTTACTAATTGTGTTTCTGAATTATCATCTACTATTTCAAAATTGGCGAGACACACTGGTTTGATAAAAAAGTAGAAATTAGTAGTATGCTGCTATTTTGGTCTTTTCTTCAGTAAGCTCATATGATAATTGTAATAATGAAAAATACCCAATCAAAAGTTGGTTATTTTCATGAAGATTTGATACTTTTGTCAGTTCAATGTTTAATTGAAGTTAGCTGGTGATTTTCAGCCGCGAAAATTACGGGATTTAACCAGCGGTTTCGTTTAATTCTCAGCAATGGCGGGTTTGTCATCTACATCGCGGAGAGAACTTGATTTTTCCAGGGATTTTGTAAAACAAATTAGAAATTACACGATATCACGGCAAATACGTCGCGTTCCTAGCGAATTTCTAAGATCATTATAATTAATTGCGAGTTATTCACATCAATATCGTGGCATACACGCGAATTTCTGACTCAATTAAGACTACGTAAATGTGCGCATAAAACTCATAAACATCTGTTGCTTGGGATGGGCGAAAACTATGCACGAGACTGCACGAGAACTATGGAATGTAACCATAGGTTTCCTCATATAAGATTTAATGTTTTTTTTCTACTTTTTCTTTCTTTAATTTTTTTTAATCAAAAATTATGCAAGTATGACTCATGTGTTTCGGTAAAATGTGGTACAGAAGTAATACAGATTTTAATACATATAAGGATTTTATTGCAGGTGAATTATTCGTTTACAAATTCATAGAAAGATCTTGAATTATATTTGAGATGTTTCGTACTTTTGTATTCTTTTAATACCAAGTTAAAGAACTTGATTTTTTTGGCAGAAAGATCTTCGTTTGGAATGTTCTCGCCCCAGGCATTGATACAACATTTTGTAACATTTTCTGTAATTCAAGTAATAAATCATCTTTCAATCCAGAACAAACATCTTTCCTTAAATCAGATTCCTTAACTTCGTCTCCGACAAAATAAATTTGCAGGAAACTTGGTTTTGCATATGACGCAGGATACAAACTACCAATTAAATGATAAACTTGACCTTGTACTTTAAAAGTTGGCCTAAAATTTTCAAATGTAACTTCATTTGCTCCGAAAGATGTCATTTGAAAGCATGCATTATATTTTCCTAATGACGAAAGAAAATGTTCTGAGTCACGATGAGTTCCAGTTACTAAAGATAAAAGGGGTTCTGGTAATTCTTTAGGTAATGGTAAAGATACTTTACCATTTAGGCAACACATTCCAGGATTTTCATCTTTCCATTTCAGAGCCTTACACCAATTACAAATATGTTTCATTTTTCCAATAGTAACTACTTCATCTGCAGAGTAATTAAATGAAGGGTCGTAAGAAAATCCAGAGAGATATTTTGGATCAGAGTTTTCATTCTTCTCATTCCTCTTCTTTTCGTTACTAATCACATGGGATGTTGAAATTTTCTCAGGATTGTTGATTGCATATTTTTTCATGGATTCCAAATGTTTCTCTGGATTTTTCTTTTGATATGTATTTCAAAGCAGAAGACAAATGAATTTCGGGGTGTTCTCGATGATAATTCCTAACAGCCTTTCGATTCATTTGGGGATTTTTTTTTGCATATTTTTTAACAGATTTTTGATTAACCTCAGGATTTTTTGAGGTATATTTTTTTACAGACTTTTGATGAACCTCGGGATTTTTTGCGGTACACTTTTTTACAGACTTTTGATGAACCTCGGGATTTTTTGCGGTATACTTTTTTACAGACTTTTGATGAACCTCGG